ACACACACACACACACACACACACACACACACACACACACACACACACACAGAGTATTTTTGTTTGATTGCAAATTATATGCAAAGTGTAGAAAATCCCTAAAACTCTGTGGCCTCTGTGTGTGTGTGAGTGTACATGTTTAGACATCTTGGTGGGGACAGTAAATTGGCATGCACTATACCTGTGGGGACCAACAACATCCTCACGAGTTTGAAGACATTTTTGAGACTCAAAATGTGGTTTTAGTGTCAGAGCTACAGTTAAGCTCAGGCTCAGGTCTAGGCTCAGGGTTAGAGTTCATTTTAGGTGGGTACGGCAAGCAGCTGGGGAAAGCATTATGTCAATAAGATGTCCCCACAAGGATATAAAAACATGACTCTGTGTGTGTGTGTGTGTGATGATAAAACCGTTAAACTGAAACTGAGACACACACACACACACACACACACACACACACACACACACACACACACACACACACCTTGTCTCTGCAGGCTGATGATTTGTTGCGTATCTCAGCATGTACGAACTGAAGGTTCAGCTTTGGTTGTCATGGAGATGACTGTCAGATTCATCATATGTTTATCACATGTTTGAAATCCTCATGTGACCTGAGAAAGTTGAAATGAGCAGCGAGCGTCTCCCTCCTGCAGAGGGAGCTGCGCTCTCAGCTCTGCTCCAAACCTCCAGGAGGTCGCTGCATCACTCAGAGCTCCTGAATCATTCATTCATCCAAACATCGGTCAGGAGAACTGAAACCCAGCAAACGAGCCTCTGAGCAGCACGCCTCCTCAGTGAGGTGTGAGAGGAGGAAGCCCCAGGGAGACCCAGGATGTGCTGGGAGTGCCTCGTCAACCTGGAGAAGCAAGAAGTGGTGCTCCTACAGAGGGAGTCCCGGAGTTGGTCCTGATAAGGACTAGAAAAAAGGCCCTGTGACCTCATCAGGACGGGGCGTGCCTGTGAGCACAGCCTGGGTTTGAGACAGGCAGTGATTTTGTGACGGAGCATCTGAGGCCCGCTAACGTCCTGCTAACCCTGCTAATGACCTCTAACGATCCGCTAAGGCCCTGCTAATGATCTGCTAATACCCTCGTAACACCCCGCTAATTACTCGCTAACGCCCACTAATGACCCACTAATGCACTGTTAACGCCATGCTAATGATCCGCCAACAACCTGCTAACACCCTACTAATTACTCACTAGCGCCCGCTAGTGCCCTGCTAACGCCCTGCTAACACCC